CACACACACACACACACACACACACACACACACACACACACACACACTCTTCAGGAGAGATCCGAGTGTCAGTAGGTTGTATGCTCTTCAAATCGTTATGAATGAACAAGTTTATACGTGTTATTTTTGATCAAAACAAAATGAATCCGCAGCTACAGTGATCATGGATTGTAAATCTGTGGGTTATGAACCGGTGACAATTAAGAGCAATTCAGTTGAGTTCAACTCTAGAACAAACTAGTTTCAGAAATGGAAGACATTTTCTGATACAGTATTTTGAATAATAAGTTTGAAAAGGGAGGTGAACAAATGCAGAATTTGGTGCTTTGCATATACCAGAGGTTTTTAAGAATTACTACAGATGTTCATTGTGAATAAACATTAATCTGCTTAGAAAAGAAGGAAAAAAAGACTCTTAAAACTACAGAACTTATCTGAAAATCAGCACATTTCTCTGTATAAAAGTAACCCAGTAATAGTGTTATGTATCCACAGGTACATTACAAAAAAATCTAATAACTAATTTGGCAAACTTCTAAAGGTGGCTTTACGTGTGTGTGTGTGTGTGTGTGTGTGTGTTTCACTCACGGGCCTCAAGAGCAGCACACTGAGGCACAGCCCCATGCACGGACCTGACCTGCAGTCCCTGTGCCTCCACTGTTCCACTGAACAAGACAAACAAAAAACAGCTCCTGGCTCGCTTCTTTCCTGCCCAACATTAAAGGAGAATACCACCAATTTTCAGAATTCACACGTTATTTTCACACCGTATTAATGTAACTTCTGCTTCCATATATAAAGAGTCAATACTGTCTGCTGTAATTACCGATATAGATTCATCTCAACCCCTCGGGAATGTAACACCTTTGAAAAGGTCACTGTGTTGGTGGCTGTACTTAAACACAAGAGGTGTGTTTGTGTTCAGAGGATTGCTCACAGTCTTCTAGTTATTGGCAAAACGTGTATCATAGTTATGCGTTTAGCTTAGCAAAATAATACTCAAGCACTCTGTTGCTATCCCTATAAATAACATAACGCAAGGTCCTCCATTGAGTGGCATTCTCCTTTATGGTACTTGACCTCCTGCTACCTGCTCCTGAGCTGCAGCCCGTTGGACACTAAGAGGCGTCACACCTGCGCCTTCCTCTCGTCCACAGCGGCCCGGACAGCTGTGCTCACAGCTGCTCACCCCAGTCGCACACCTGGGGGGGCCGCGTGAAGTGACGGGCCAGAGTAAAAGTCCTGCTTTAAAGCCGAGCTGGCAGAAAAGAAAAAAAAAAAAAAACCCCAGTTCCCCCCCTCCAGGATTCAGTTCAGTGAACCTCAATTACACTCAATCTACTTTAGTGAAAAGGCGGTGAGGGGGAGGAAGAGAAAAAACAAAACAAAAGAACACAAAATGTACAACAACAGAGAAAAAACACACAACTGAAGTAGCGAATAGAAGCCAAAAATAGCGACAGGAGCACTCGTGACGGCGCTGGCTGACGGGCGGCCGGGGGTCAAGATGAAGAGAGGCTGCAGCGGTCCTCTAGAAATGTGCGCCAGCATTGTGGCCGCAGTTGCCATGACAGCAGCACGTTAAGCACCTCTTTTCCAGAACGACATGTTTTAAATCAACACTGGAAGGGTGCAGCAACAGCCCTTGCTCTCTCACTCCTCCACCCCTCTGAGCCCCAAGTCCCCACTTTTAATGTTCATTTTCATTTTATCTATTTTGTTTATCGTTAGGTACTCCGTGGTGCTGCGCTCCTCTCGACACATAAGACTTCCCCGTTTCAGGCTTCTGGCCAGAGTTTGTTGTTGTTGATTTTCAGTCATTTGTGTGTGTTTTTTTTTTTTCTTTGTAAATCCCAGAACATTTTCAGAGCCTCCCGTGTTCAGTCCAGAGGCGGGCGTAGTCGAGTCCTCAGCCCGGGAGGCAAACTTTGCCGGCGAACAGAAGTCCCACTATGGTAAAGAAGATGGAGAGGACGAACAGCACGTACGAGGAGCCCACCACCGTGTTGTTGGGCAGCTTGTACGGCTGGCCGCCCACTTCGTTGATATAGAAGCCTATGGGGAAGATGAGCGCCGCCATACAGAACAGGATCACTGGAAGGAAGGAGCGAGAGAGGAAACATTAGTCTACGGCACACTTAAATACAAAATATCTTATGATGCTGTACAGACTAGAACTTTTCTTACATGTAAACCACACTAGATGTATTTCATCTTTCTAAATGGACACTTAAGGTGTTTAAGTGTCGACTCAAAACGTCGAACGTCCGTCATCATTTGTAGCCTTTAATCTCCGCACGAGATGCAGAAATTAAAGCTTGAACTCAACTTGAGCAGGAAGCACAGGCTGCTCTGGCTGAATTCAAGTTGAGCGAGTTCATTAGTGACGTACAACAGTACCTTTCAAAAGGCAGTGAAGCAGCAGTTACACAAGGCGGACTCACAGAAAGCACCGTGACCGGTGTGACTCCGCCTCACGGGTTCCAGGAAGATGAGAGACTCAGAAACTGTTTCTGTTAAATGTCATTTATGTAATTAACATTTTTTTCAAATATTACAAGTCGTAGATTTTTTTACATCATTCTGCCAATTTTGCAGCAACAGAATATCAAGCAACACATTTGAATGCCAGAAAACATCTTTTTTTTTTTTCTTCCTACCAGACTGCAGAAATGACAGACCCGTTGCTCATTTCACGACCACGTCTCCATTACAAGAGGACTGTGGAAACCCACACTTCTTCACACCAAGATAACTTTAGCAGCGCTTTAGCTGGAACTTTCTACAAACACCGGATGTACAGTAACTGTCCCGCATGGAGTTTCGTATGAAGACGACCTCATTTAAAATCTCATTAAAAATAACTACTTTAAGAATTAAAAATACAACCTTGGGGAAGCGTTTTATGCCACGATATATTGTGTGGCTCTCTTCGTATGTCCAGACAAGTAGGCTTTTTGAAAAAACTATCTAATATCGTTGTTTGTTTCATAATTTCACGAACACCATTTCCAATAAGCTCTAGACCTTTGCAGTGTTAGTTCAGACATGTCTGCAGTAACAGCAGGTCGAAGACGAGCAAACGCTGATAAAGTGTGTGGACAGCAGAGATTAAAGATGGGATGTTTTTAAATGGCTTTAGTAGAGCGCTTTGGTGAACCTTATGATATAAAAATCAAGTTACGACGACGTAAATAACTACAGTTTATGGCGACTGTAGTTTGTCTTGTGCTCACAAATTAACTGTTGTTGAACTCCAGGAATACACTTGAAAGAAACACTGAATGAGCGATTGTATTGAGTTACAGAAGCTAGTGAAGCAGAGGCCGGCCTGGACGTGATGTCATGAGATCTTGAGACTTATGACTGAACATGTGTGACGAGGAGGAGCCTCCATCTGTCCCACTGTATCGCTGCACATTCATTACTGTCTATTTACACGAGATAATAACACTGTTTGGCCCAAACTGTACAAGAACCCGATTATTAATGTTAAAATGTTGATGTTTCCTGTTCAACTATACGGTCAACTAACAAATAATGCCAAAAAATGTAAACAAAAAGAGTTGCTGTAAATCCACCGTCTACACAACCACATAATACAAAACACACACAATTAAAAGATTAATAATGACAGGAAATTCACTCAACATGACATGTTTGCGATTCTGTTGGGTTGTTTATGCATTTCCATTTTGAAATTACAATATTTCTGATAGTACCTGAAGGCAGCATTTCTCCACAGTCAGATGTTTTGGTAAACCTTCAAATCCCTCCGGATGCTGTAATTCCAGCTTTTAAGTTAGCAAAGTCAAGCTTTCGTGTGGCTTGAGGCTATTTGTGGGTAGAAGCGTATCATAATCAAGTATCCTTGAGCTCACCACAGATTTGCATTATTTCCAACCCCACATGAATGCAGCATTAGTTTCAGTAAATGTTTCTCCACGAACCCTAAATAAGCTCTTTATGAAACAGCCTCAGGCTGATTGATTAACACCGTTCAAAATGTCTCGATGTGCTTAAAGGTGCAAATCCAGGATCAGATTTCATGCTTTCTTAACAGCCACATCCAATTTGATTTCGCTGCATGTGTAGGAAATTTAGGTTTAGAAGTGTGCTTTAGGATTTATAGTTAGATGTGTTTCTTCGTAGAATTTATAGCACCTTAGAGGTGGATAGTAAAATGTTAGCAAGTACTTGGGCTATACCAATTATGCTTGTGAAGTTTTTGCCAAGAGTTGCAAATCCTTATCGAATGTATAGTATGTTTACAGTATGTTTATCATAGAAGTGTTAAGCCATAAAAGACAGTCATTGAATGTATTAAACTGTGAAGAATAGCTAAGGGTCAGACAGGGATCTCCAGACAGGCATTTACAGGGACACGCCGACGGATTCATCATACCTGCGCTCAGGGTCCTCCGGCTGGCTGATGCGAGAAGGAGGAGCCAGCTGGATTTAGCCAATAGAAACTAAGACGGACATTTTGTGACTTTTTACGATCTATATAAGGAAATTCAGAAAGAGGATTCGGCCTGTTCATCTCATTGTCATCCAGGTGGTGTGTATGACTGCTTTACCGCGCGGATCATATTTCTATATCGATGCTGTAAATATATATCTATAGATTCTGTAACTAGTGTACTTCACTTTGCAATTGTTTTAGCTTCTGTAGTATTAAACACTTTTGATTATAATTGGAACGGCTGACAGAGACAGGCTGGATCACGTGCGGTTTCCCCCACAGTTTCGAGAGGTTCTTGAACCTAACGCATGTTAATAAAAACCTGAAAAACAATTTCCTACGTTTAAGAAAAGACAAAAATGAAGACCGAAGAGCAAGCCACACATATGCTGATGTTGTTGTTGTAGTTTCTTTAGATGTTACATAAGAGCTTTAGTTAACTGTCGCAAAACACCTTAAAAATAGTCCTCAGATTTACAACATGTTTATAACATGTCAATGGAGAGATGCACAAAATCGGTGGAGCAGTATCAGAGATATCATCCGTTTCACTTCATTAATTCATCTTCCTTATCAAAATATGGTGCCTACATTACCCACAATGCAACACTACTGCCGCCAGATTGGTCTGAGATTCGGGTGTTTTATACTTGCAGCTAATGCAGCCTCAAGCAGAGATGAGGAGCGGCTACAGAGGCATCAACTCCATACAGTCTTTTTTTTTTTTTTTTTCTTCATCCCCAACCAACGCTGACTCAAGTGACATCACTTGAGGCAAGTCTTCAGGCAGCTCCCACTGGAGCCACAAAAGTTTTTTGATGTGTAAAATCAGTGGAGTTCCCCTTTAACCAGATTTTTTTTAATTGGCTTTTTTAGAAGTACACATGTGCATGACAAAAAAAACTTCACAAGAGGAAAAGTCCTCCTTTAAAACACACGTTGTGATGCTCTGCACAGCGTGTGCACAGCCAAGCACAGGGAAGCCATTACACAGTCTGAAGTGGTGCTGTCCAGGAAGTCTGTGATTGGATAACTAAGTTGTTACTAATGAGGAGATCGCCCTCTTGCCTGTGAACATGTTATTACTGACGCCTTGGGTCCAGCCCCCCCAAGTCCACTAAGTAACACACAGCGACGTGAAACAGCAGAAGCAAACTGTGTGACAGAATTTGTGGACGAGCTTCATGTACTTAAAAACAACTCTTTAATGTTACATTCAGAAATGTGAGCCGTTATACGTTGCTGCGTCTGCTCCATAAACTATCTTAGTTTTCAGCAGAATTACAAGTACTCAAAGAACGAGACGCGTCTCGACCTCTCTTCAAAGCTCACTGAGATCTGTGTTCAAGTATTTTGGTTTAATCCATTTCGTGACGGCGCACACGCGGCCATTTTTAGCTTTCACCTTTTCAATTAGCAGAGCTGTTCTGTACCTGAGGGATGACTTTTTTGCCGGTCACATAAATCTCACTGATGTTACAGTTTTGTCATGTCGTGCAGCTAGAGGAAGTTAGAGTAGCGTTGGGATTTAAAAGACATTTTGTCAATTAAATATCTACAATTCACCCCAGAGATTAAATATCTAATTAGGAGTGGGCGACATGATTCACATAAACAGATTGGGATATTTGTTTTTGGCTAACCGGTCAAACAAATGTCCGGTAAAGCTGCATCACAAAGCACACACACAGGATAATATTTACTGTCTATCATTTTGGCCTGATTGTTGCCCCGCCGATGAGTTTACCGATGGGGGGGGGGGGTTGATTGCAGAAAGATGCTTGGTAAGCTACGCTTAAGTGGAGCCAGAAATTCGCAGCTCAGCATTACTCCTGCGAGCTTAATTGAAGTGCACTTCACGGTCCGCTGCTCCTCTAAAGTGCTGACGACACACGGCTCACCTTCTGCAGGAGAAAGTATCGTCTCAGCTGATATGACCGATGGTTACTAATGTCAGGCCCAGAAATGACCTGAGACCATTAGTCTATTTATTGATTAGTTAATAGACAGAAGATTAACCTTGATAATTGATTAATTGTTTGTCCTTTTTCATGCAAAGATATCAAAACATTCACAGGTTCCAGCTTCTCAATAATGAGGATTTGCTGGTTTTCTTTGGTCGTACATGATAAAAGGATTAAAGGTCTCACATGATAATTGGATTTTAAAAAGGACTTTATGAAAATGGGACCAGAATCAACAGATGATGTAATAAAGTGACTGTACAGGTAGTTTACAAACTAGTGGCTTTAGTGTCAAGTCACTCTTTAAAATAAAGTTCATGGACCGACCAGATGTTTTCTGAAGTTGTTGTTAATGTATTTATCATAGCCCCACTCTGAAGCCGCACACCTGGGGGAAATACTGCTGGGGTGTGTGTGTGTATGTGTGTGTAGCGACACAGAGGTGGGTCTGTGCTGGTCATACAAAGCTGTCCATTCAGGTGCCGGAGGCCTGGAGCTGGACTGCCCACCTTCTCTCAACCTTCACCTGGCTGACCCCCCCCCCCCCTCAAGACAACCAGCTTCACTTTATTCTGCGTCTGTACGCCTCGTCCATTTCGGTCTCTACATTGACTCTTGAGCTGTGCAAACACGTTTTATTCCCTCAACTCTTCCTCAGCCCCCGGCCATTTCACTCACTTAACCTCTCACCCTCTCCTCCATCACAGCTACATGTTCAGAAACATCAGGGAAGCTTATTAAAATCCAAATTTGACCTCTTCATCCCTCTCTTACACTTCAAACAGGCTTTTGAAATACAAGAGGATCCCAGGAAGACCATCAGTCCCTAAAGTGTCAGCTACTTGGAGAACTAAACCTAAATAAAGTGATGATTTACCATCTTTTCTCTTAACATACTCATCTCAACATATCGAGCTCTCTCTTGTACCTAAAATCCCCCCGAGCCTTATTTCCTTAATGCTTCAATCCCCTTAAAAAGAATAACAACAACATACCTCTCGTCTAACATGGCCAACAGAAGCTTAACAAGGGGACAAAAGGTGACAATTGCAACCGCCTTACTCCTTTCAAATGTGATGGTTAAACAACTAACGATCGATCCAACAGCGTCCAATTTAGCTTGTGACACAGATCTGTGCTGACCGGACAGACGGACCTGTCTGTGGAGAAAGCGGTGATTCATCGGGAAGTGATTATTGAGCGTTATAAAAACCTAATTCTGAATCTGTATTTAGCCTGGCGCGCATATAAAAAATAAATCAAAAAAAAGACTCTTTCAATGGGTGTTTGTTCAAATCTGCCAGTGTCCTGAAAAATGCAGCCGGCTTTCAAACAACAATACAGAGCATTGTGTCTTCACAGTGTGCTGGAGGCGGTCTATTCCCTTTAACTAACCAACCAATCACGCTCTGCCCTCCCACACAGCCTTATGAAATGCTGCACAAGGTGGATGGCGGGTTGTTGTTGTTGCATGCTGGAAGTGAATCTTACAGAGAAGAAATCACTCGAGAAACGCCACCTACTCGGGTATCAGAGGAGCTGCATTACTCAATAAATTAGCTTCAGGGAGCAAGAAGAACACTTAGGAAAACGCAACCAACCAAACACACATTCTCACGTCGCTCTCAGAAACACAAACACACAAAGGGTCCTGTGTAAAGTCTCGGATGTTTCTGACGTCACACTTCTCTAAAAATCTAAATTAGCAGTGCTTAACTGGGCCAACACCTCATGACTTCTCCTTTTATTATTTCCTGCCCTGAAGAGACTATGTTCATGAAAATACTAATGTTGCAAAGATGACTTTCTACAGATCCCGTTCTAAAGACGCAGTGAGACAGAAGAAGTGGGGGTCACAGTCTGGTTCACTTACTGCCAGTAAAGGCGATCCAGCGGGCGTATTTGGTGGCTTCTCGGCGCCAGTGTGATGCCACGAGTAGTCCACAGGTGACCGTGAGGGAGATGATGCCCATGATGATGAAGAAGAGCGTGGTGACCCACTCTGGGGGCAGCCGAGGTGGAATACAGGTCCGGTCTCGTCCGTGGATGGTCTGACATTGCCGGACTAGACCGACCGTAAGGGCACCTGCAGAGAGAGGTTGAATGGTGAGGAGTTGACCAGAAAAGAACATTTGAACACTTCATTATCAGTAAATGCAAACACAGGAGAAGCAGCTCAGCTGATGTCAAAGAGAAAGAGGAATGACTGAAGGAGGAGAAACGAGAGAGAATCTCCTATAATTTGTCTCCAGTACAGAGCTGGCGAGGAGCTGCTCTCTCCACACTGGTGGGCCCAATTATGCCAGCGAGTGGCCAATATTTTTTCTTGCACCTTCACCGTCTAGAAGAGAAAGTGAGGTTTAAATCAATCCTGCCAATTACTGAATCTACCCCAAGCAGGTATGTGAAAAGGACACTGAACAGAGACGCGCATCTGTAAGAAGTTGCAAAGATCGCACAGATTTGCAGCAAGCTTTTGAGACACAGTGCCCATAACCCTCTCCTATCTCCATCTCTTTGTCTAGGATATCATGCACATTGACGGCTCACTGTACCCATCATTGATCAGACAGGAAGTCATGGCCGCATGCCTCAACGTTTGAGCGTGAAGGCCAGGACTCGGAGCAGAAACATGCTCCGGTGGTGCAGCCACTCTGGAGGGAAGTTATTCGATTAGAGCACGTCCTCAAGGGGAGTTTCTACCCGAGTAAGCAGAACGGCGTCCCATCACTCAGGCCTCTGCTGATCACAGGCGTCGGCAAAAGAAAGGCAGACTATAAGTGATGTGAGGGGATGTGAGGCGTTCATCGGAAAATGTTTTTAGCACATTTGGGTGATGTATAGTGGTCTTTCTGGATGGCAGATGAGCCGTCCTATACCCCATGACACTTAAGCATATGCACACACACATAACAGGACACTTTTAGACTGACTTCAGAGAGGCAACAGCACTGCATGACAAGCGCAATTGTCACTGTGGTATCTCTCCAGGAGTTGTCAAATCCACTTTGCCTCCTTTTGCAAGGTAACAGCGAAGGACACAAACTTCAAAAACCTTTAAAATCACTGATGTGTTTTTTTTAAAGAATGACCTTCCTGGATCATATTTCATTGTCAGGCGGGTACTTGGAGCAACTTCCCTCGACAGTCCCTTCCGTTTCTTTAACACAGCACTTTTTTCAGTCGGAATGCTCCGTCCTGAAATGGCACTCGCTATAAATGACATAGTCAGAGATAAATAAATAACAACAGATAGGGTTAGACACTTAAAAGGTGCCCTGCGCAGTAGTTTTCTTGTAAACAAACTAAAGTTATGCATGTGTCACTCAACCAAACTCATTGTGTGCATCCTTGAGCTCCAACAAACATGTCAAGAGCATTTCCTTCAACATAAAACATTTAGCAAAGCCAAAATTTGAAGTATTTAAAACCTTCTTCTTCTTATCCTCGGGTTGGGCGGTTAGAGGAATATATAGACGGTTGGCTGAGTACATCGCTGATTGTTTTTTTTTTTGTTTTTGGGGCGATGTCATTTTATTTTGTTAGTTTAAAAGTCTGCCTCTAAAGGTTGAGAGCCGCTCGGCCGCTGATCAGCGGGCAAAAAGAGAGACGGCAGAGATGGTGATTGTTGCAAAGACTAACCAAGACGGTTTCGGCGAGTTTGATTTTGTTTATGTCAAGTTTGAATAAACTTGTGTTTGACATCACTCCGCTGCTCGAACAGCAAACATGTTAACATACTGCGAATGTGCACAAGGTGAACCACACATGTATGAACACCATAGTGCTACTAGAGGTTGAAAAACTCCCCCGGAAACCTTTAAATAAACTGTTCATGCTAAACATGTACGCTATGTGGCTACGCTAATTCTGCACTGAGGCCTTAATGGCACAATGTCTTCTCAGAGTCAGATGGGGACGTTATTCCCTCCACATATTTGGGGCATAAGCTAATAAAAAGGAAAAAACACTTTTTCTGACATACCACAAAATACCCCATTCACTGACAATGCAATTCTTTGTGGGCGACATTATAAAGTTCAGCAGCAGGTGGGTGGACGCGAGCATGAGACGAGCATGAGACGAGCTTTCGAGCTGGAATCTCAGAAGGTCGAGCGTGTCGCTCGCTCCGTCTGGCACCGAACCGAGATGTTTCATAACCCGTCTACTGTAACCCTTTCCTCTGTTTACACAATGAATAAATGCTGCTGCTGCTTATAACCCCATTGAGTCGAAAAGCACTGAAACACAAACAGAATGGCAAAGTGTGTGAGAAGAATGCTCTTACTGCCCCCGGAGGGGGGGGGGGGGTCAACAGGCAGTCCAGAGGAAATCCTGTCCCCTTTGTAACACCCAGAGAAAGCTTTAACAGCTACAACCCACACAAACAATTCAAAACGGTTCCAAAGAACGCCCTGGGAGTCTGGAGATGTTAAAGTGTGCTGTTACAGGCATACAAACCTACTTTATAACACACACACACACACACACACACACACACACACACACACACACACA